TTATTTGGCTTACAGTTTATAGTCCATCACAGAGGGAGGCCCAGGACTGTGAAACAGAGACCATGGAGGAACACTGCTCACATTTGGCCCCCAGGCTCACATTCAGCTACTTTTCTTAAACAGCACAGACCTCACTGTTAAGGGATGGCACCACCCACATAGCATAAAGAATAATTTTGAATGTCCATGTAGACTATAAATTCTGTGTTAGACCCCCTAAAGATTAGCCCACAATAATCTTTTGCCTTCTCTATTTTATTATTATCCCTTAAAAGCCTGTTTGTTTTCTAACGAGAGACAGAAATGGGGTGTGTTGGAATGGGAGGGGAGATAGAGAGGAACTGGGAGGTGTAGAGGAAGACAGGAAACCATAATCAAGATATATTATGTGAAGAAAAAGACCTATTTCCAATAAAAGGGAAAAACTGATGGAAGAAAAAAGGAAACAAGGAAATAATAGAATTTTAAAAAGAAAGGCACAGACACACACACAAAGACAAAATTCATAAAAAGTCAGAAACCGTAATGTACAAGCAAAAGATCAGTAAAAAAAAAAAGCCCAAACAAAGAAACCAAAATATCATTGATTTTACTTTGTGTTGACTGTCTACTACCCTTAAGTGTAGGTTACATACCTAAGGAGACTTCTTTGGAAAAAGCAGTGGGAAAATCTTATTTTTATGGAAATGTTATATCCTAATACAGGATTCTTATGGGTCTCCACAGTCAACACATTTCTATTGATGATACTTGAAAAACTATGCCTCACAGAATCCCAAGGTCAAAATTGACTGATGCCAGTCTCCGAAACAGGCCATATATTTTTACAAATTGATATAACTCTCTGAAACAGAGTCATTTATTTGAAAACACTTATTTTGTTAGCATTAGCATCAATGAGGAAAAATGGTAAGCCAATGTACAAGTTGAAGAATTTAAAGTGAAATTATAAAAATAGAGAGTATTGCTTTTATTTCTTTGATATGCTTATATAAACAAGGATTGTTTATTAAAAGAAACTGATCTCTTAGACCTTGTAACATTTTTATTTGCTAGATGCAAGTTCCTTTTCTTTCCCCAAACTGTAAAACTACTCAGTGAAATCTAAAGCAGTTTTCAGCTTCTATACAAGTAATTGAGTTGAAAACCAGCCTGGACAAAATAGGGAGAACCCTCAAAAGCACAGGGAGGAGGAAGAAAGAAGTTGATTCATGGAATATCCTTCCCATTAAAATTGTAAACACAACTTCTTTTGTAAAAATGTGGACCCTACTCCTCATATTTCATTGCCTTGCCCAGCCTTAATACATGGGGAGGTGCTTAGTCTTACTGCATTTGATATGCCATGTTTTGTTGATACTCAGGGGAGACCTGCACTTTCCTAAACAGAAAGAGAGAAGTAGTGGATTGGGAGGAGAGGGGAGCATAGGGGGAGGGACTGAGAGGAGAAATGGGAGGCCAGGATGTAAAATAAGTAAATGAATAAAATTACTTTAAAAACATGAGCCGGGCGTTGGTGGCACACGCCTTTAATCCCAGCACTCGGGAGGCATAGGCAGGCGGATCTCTGTGAGCTCGAGGCCAGGCTGGTCTACAAGAGCTAGTTCCAGGACAGCCTCCAAAGCCACAGAGAAACCCTGTCTTAAAAAACCAAAACAACAAACAAACAAACATGTGAATGAGCTAAGTGAAGAAGTGAGGTCTCTCCTGAATTACTAGAATAGACTAATTATTCAGAAGTAGTAGTTCAGTTTCTCAGTACGTCGTTATAGGGTTTTGGATGTAACTCAGTAATGGGGTACTTGGTTACCATGTATGTGGCCCCACATTTAATTTCCCAGTACTTTAAAAAACAGTAGCAGTATATTGACACGTACTGCCTTCACTTTGATAATGAAACAAAAGATATTGACTGATTGATTTTTATAAGAATAATAATTCACATGTGATTTAACATTTGCATTGAACCCCATGCTTGTTTTCTTTTATAGGACGAAATATAGACACATGAATAGAAGACGGAAATTCCTTCTTGCCTCAGTGCTTGCTCTCCAGAATTCGAGTTTTATATATCCATCATGTCAAAAGTGCTTTTCTCGGATAATCCTTGACTCCAAAAGGTAAAATTGAAGACTGTATGAAGGGAAATATAGATACTTTTATGACCCACGGGCAAATGCACACTGAACTAACCATACCAGAACATCAGATTTTGTCAGAAATTCTCAGGGTTCATTCTTCTCTGTTAATCTTAGAATAGAATTGGGTAGTAACCTAGTTTCTAGGGAAAGTTTTAAGAGTATTTGTTTTTTCATGGTCCTCACATCAGGTTATTTTTTTTAATATATATAAGTAAACTTTATAGCTGGTGCCATGTTTACTATTACTTATAAAATGCTTGAAACTAGACATGTTTCAGATTTCAGAACTTTAGAGACTTAAGAATATTTGTAAAAAGCCGGGCGGTGGTGGCACATGCCTTTAATCCCAGCACTTGGGAGGCAGAGGCAGGCGGATCTCTGTGAGTTCGAGGCCAGGCTGGACCGACAGCCTCCAAAACAATACAGAGAAACCCTGTCTCATAAAACCCAAAAAAAAAAAAAAAAAAAAAAGAATATTTGTAAAAACGTTGTTGTTTAAGTATCCCTGGTCTAAAACTGAAACAGATGCTCCAAAAATGGATGCATTGTTTCTGCAGCCCAAGCTAGTCTGGAATTCACAGTTCTGGTGTGCTCCCCCCTGATTTCAAAGTCTTAAAAAACAACTTTTTAAGTCATGTCAGTGTTCAGAAACTTTTTCATGTACTCTGAAGTTCAGAATTTCAGGTCAGATATATAAATTCTGGTAATCTATTGTGCAACAGTAATGTTGTTTGGCTACATCTGAATACCATGATAAAATCATTGTACCCAAGTATAGTTGAGAGCCCAAGATATACCACCTGTCTTTGTAGAGTAGAAGGGAAAAGTTGGGTTTGGAGTTTTTCTACAACTTTGTAGAATAAGATGAAGATGTTAGTATCACCTAGTAATATGTAAATAAAAATAGTGAGCTAATAATTTTCACTAGTCACTGGTCAAATTAGAATTGAATGTGGTGGGGGGAGGGCATGGGAGGAGGGGAGGGAAAGGAGAGGGACCTCGTACTGACTTGTGAAGCAACCTTGTTTCTTATCTAAATTTAAAATGGAAAATAAAAAAAAATAAAAAAAAAAAGAATTGAATGTGGTATAAGGAGGAATAAGTAACCTTTCTTAAAAACACTGGAAATTTAGAGTTCATGCTGCATAGAATTACAGGTGGGTGCTAATATCTACTGAGAATATGTCATGGGACAAGAGATGTAGATTCTGTGAGCCTAATTATTTATTTGTAAAGTAGAATAATAATGCCTACCATGTGGAATAATGCACAGAAATCTAGCACAATACATGATATGTGTGAGAATTTCCAAGATGGCACCCATTTTTACTGAAAATCTTTTACAAGTGTTCTTGTCTTACTGCAGTATATCATGATGGTTAACAGCATTATTCTATGAAACCAGAATGCCTGAGTTGTTTAATCTTAACCTCTGCTACTTCTTTGGATGGCAGAGAATTGAGACAAGGTCTTACTCTGTGACCCAGATTGCCCTGGAACTCACTGTATATCACAATATAACCTCAAACTTGTAGCTTCTGTCTAAGCATCCCAAATAAGGAGATTATAAGCATTAGCCACAATATCATTCCCCAACTCTCTCAGTTATAGCTATGTGGTCTTGCACAAATCATTACTTAGTTTGGGACTAAAACTGAAGAAAAGCCATTAGAATTTTTATTTGAATCAGGTAAGTTACTATATATAACATACTTAGAACATTTGTATAATATATAAAACCAGCTATATTGATATAAAGTATTTTTAAACTTTGTGGTCTTTTCCAAGTAAGATAAGAGTATCACTATATATCCCAGCTGGTCTTGAACTTGTGATCCTCTTGCTTCTGCTTCCCAAGTACTAGGATCACAGTCCTAAATAACCAAACCCAACACATCAAGAATTTATCTTGAAGATAATCTTTCATAAAAGTTTGGGTACCACTGTTATCTCCTTAGACTAGTGTTACCAATATATCCCATTTATGGGTGTTTACTGTGTGCTAGGTATGATGCTAGGAGCTTCGCAGTTGCTATATCCCTTTAATACAAGAGCTTTTTATGAAGTGGATGCTATTGTTGTTACAAAATTTGGAGACAGCTGAAGCTTAGAAAAGTGAAGTAACTTGCCCCAAATCACACACCCAGCTAGTTAGAGGCAGAAATAAACAATAAAGGCTAAACAATGTGACTAGGGTCAACATTCATTCTTGCCATATTACCTCTGAACTAACAGTGCAGTTTATATTCGAATTTCCACGTAAAGTCCTGTAGGAAAAGAGCTCCAGCTGAATTGTTCATATGCATAAAACCCCAAAGAACATTGTCTTTACATGTGGAAATTGAATCGACTAGAGAGTAGCACTGTGTCTATTAACAATACCACAAAACTCAATTCTGATGCTTAACCTTTTCTATTTTTACTTCTGCATTTCTTTTTTCTTAGTAAAAATCAGCCAACATAGAAAATAGAAATTTTTCTTCTCCATTGCCCCACTACTTTAAACAAGTTTGTGATGAGTGTCCCCCCCCACATCATGGCCTTTGCAGATCCTATTTTTTACCCCAAATCCTTAGCAATGACAGCAATAGTAGGTGTTTTGTGTCTTGCTGAGATAGCTTCTTTTTTTAACCTCCCAGGGTAAGCAGTAGAAATATTTAAAGTATGGGCTAATGAGGTGAAGTGTTTGCTGTGCAAGCATGAGGACCTGAGTTCAGAACCCCACACCATGTCTTTTAAAACACCAGTGTGTACCTGTAGTGCCAGTGCCAGGGAAACAGAGACAGGACGATGCCTGAAGCTTGCTGGTAGGTAGTATTGCTGATCAGTGAGTTACAGATTCAGTGAAAGACTCTTATCTCAAACCAAAATAAGGTCATAAGGTGTTCTTCCTAGGGACCTAATATGCTGTGGCTATAAACATCAGCAACCCTGGGGGTGTATTCAACCTCTTGCTTAAATGGGTTTCCCTAAGCAAACTTGAAGACAATTTTATGAGATAATGCTTTCCCCAGTCTGGCCTCCAGAAAGGTATGGTGGGGAACTTTTGGGAAGCCCTGGGGCACAGTGAGTAGCTTTCACCCTGCCCAGATCATCATGTATATCCACACCAAGCTGAAGAATAAGGAACATGTGATTGACGCCCTGCATGGAGCCAAGTTCAAGTTCGCTGACCACCAGAAGATCTCAAAAAAGTGGGGCTACACCAATTTTAATGCCATAGTATTTACTTGATTTGTTTCATCTTTCCTGTGCATTGGATTTTACAGACCCAGTTTTCAGTATTTCAGGCATCTAGAAACTATCCCAAGACCAAACAGTATATAACAAGAGATTTACACCTGATGGATATTTTTAACTACCCTTTGGTTATCATTGCATATTATTTATTATCTTGGCAAGTTAAGTTCTATGCCTTTGATGTCTAGTTTTTATAATCTAATATTCTTAACATATCCTGGTGAATGAAAGTAATTTTTAGGGGTTGGAGAGATCATGACTAGCCCGAGGGCACCTATGTGTCCATATATACATGCAGACACATGCACACAGTAAAAAATAAATATTTTAAAAGCTAACAAATTTCAGGACATTAAGAAAAATATGAGTAATTCTTTTAAATGAAATTGTATTTTGATTTGATTCTTCAAGACAGGATCTCTCTGGGTTGGCCGCGCCCCTCCCCACCTCCCTGGCTATCCTGGAACTAGCTCTGTAGACCAGACTGGCTTCAAACTCAGAGATTTGCCTGTGTCTGCCTCCCAAATGCTGGAATTAAAGGTGTCCAGCACCACAACCTGGGTTACAAGTAGATTCTTGGTGTATAAATATTTCAAGGTTTTTTTCGTTACACTGTTTCCCATCAGTTTCTTAGCAGTTTGGTATATGTTTCTTTCAGTTTGGTGGTATTAAAATCTATAAAGTTTACCAAATGGTTGTAGTAGCACTTGACTGTAGTCCCTTCTCCTGGTGGAAGAGGTCAAAGATCTCAAGAGTTCGAGGCCAGCCCTAGCGACATAACAGTTGGAGCCAGTTATGTCACACAAGACCCTGTCTCAGGAGAGAGAAAAAAAAAAAGTTGCTGATTATAACTAGTTTAAGAAGATTTAAATTCACTATTGGTATACAAACTATCGCCCTAAATTTGGACAACTCTATGCTGTCTCCCCAACTTTTCTAGGTTTACTTGTGTCAGGTGTGGTTCTACAGGTGAAGCTGAAAGTTCCAGTTACAGATACAGACTTTCCTTAAAAGTGGCAGAATCCAGCAAACTGTATGTCGTTACTGTGTTTGGGAGCTGCTTAGACACATTTTTTGGACTCACAGCCACTGGTTTGAAGAGGTAAGAGTCTTTAAAGCATTCTTTTATCGTGCTAATAGGATTTGAAAATACATATGTTGATGGTATTTGTATTTACTAAAAAGAAACCCTTTTTCTCAGGCCATCGTTTTCCTTAAAAGGTAATCTACTGGAAAAGGAAAATTTCACATAAATACATATGATAACTATTTAAACTATTATAAAGTTAATCCAGGTTAATCAATTCTTTCAGTTGTTTTGCAGATTTATCACTTGAGTTTGACTGTCTTAGTGTTTCTATTGCTATGAAGAGACACCATGACCATGGAAACTCTTATAAAGGGAAACATCTAACTGGGGTGGCTCGTGTACATTTCAGAGGTTCAGTCCATTATCACCATGGCAGGACATGGCTGTGTGCAGGCAGACATAGTGCTGGAGAAAGAGCGAGAGTTCTATATCTTGATCTACAGACAACAGGAAATGAAGTAACACTGGGCACAGCTTGATCACAGAAGACCTCAAAAGCCTACGGTGACACTTCCTCTAACAAAGCCACACCTCCTAATAGTGCCACTCCCTATGAGCTTACTGGAGCCAATTAATTCAAACTACCACACTAACCTACTAAGACACAGCCTTGTAACTTTAAGAATCCATAGAAGTAAAGAATTTTCTCATTGCCTACTGTCTTCCCTCTTTCCGTAGTCATTTTTCAGAAGAAAGGTGGTCATATCACTATACCTGAGAGCAAACTCATTTGAAGGAAAAGGACACTAGAAGGACCACATCTAGAATTGCAAGGAAGGAGAAAAGACCATTAAGTGTGTACTTTCCTTTTCCTCACAGTGCTATAGAGTGAACCTAGAGCAAACTTTACACATGTTAGTCTACCTCTACGCTCCTTCCCCAGACTTTGCATGCATCTTGTTCACACTGACTAAGTTGGGTTTTTTGTGGAGCTTTAAATGATTTTTCTCTTTTTATACTATGGGAACCTAGTAGGAATAAAGTGCCAAGGTTGTTTGTATGTATGTATGTATGTATGTATGTATGTATGTATGTATGGTATGTATGTATGTATATCTTTGACAAGGTTCACGCCATATTTTAAAATAATGCAAGTGTAAAATTTCAAAGTTCATCACTTTATTTTCTTTCAAAGGTACCTTGAGAATTCTAGTGAAATCCCAGAACCCCTGGAAAGTGGTAGAATGCAGAGCCTATTGACCACAGCAGTAGAAAATTGTTTTGTTGGACGAAGCTTTGTGTTTGGAGTCACGGTAATTGAGAATAGCTTCTTTTTGAATATCCTCTTTATTTACATTGTAATGAAATGATTATAATTCTCCAAGCCCTTTTAGAATATTAGAGCTTATAGGAGCACTCAAAGCTATGGAAGTAGCTTACACGTGATCTATTTAAATATTATAGGTTACAACACCCAATTACAAAAGCCAAAGAAACCCAATTCAATGTTTTCAGAACTTTAAAATGGAGGAATTTATTATGAATTGCAAAAAGTACTAAAATACTTGGTTTTGAAAGATTTCTTTTACACAAAACCCTATACAAATTACATAGTAAAATTCTGTGTCTTCTATAAGAGAGAAATAACCTCAAAGACAAATATTTGCATGTTGGTTAAAAACACTAAAAAATATATTAAGGCCTGGTATGGTGGTACATACCTTTAATTCCAGCACTTGGGTGACAGAGCCAGATGGCTAGCCCTGGTCTACATAACAAGTTCTAAGCCAGCCAGCACTACATAATAAGACCCTGCCTCAAAAAGAATAGATTAAGAAGAATGTTCTTAAATTAAATACATAATAGTAGAAAAAGTCAAAATGTGCTACTCTGAAGGACTAGTAGCAAACTATTCTAAACTAAAAGGAAAAAAGGGAAATTTGATCATCCTCTAAATGGTGTAGTAGAGAGAATATGGTACTACCAAATGGGCACTAAGGAAAACCCAAAGACAGAGAAACCAAGAGCTAATGAACTTTTTTTTTGTTAAAATATTATGTAGTTTAGTTTTCCTTTTTCTGTTCTTTCTTTTACTAATATAATAGTACCAGCATTTATAGAATAGACACTGTTTGCTTAAATATTATACAATTTTGTTATTGTTAATCAATGATCTTTATTTCACAAATGAAATAAGGCACAGAGGAGTTAAGTAATGTACCCAAAACCCCAGCATTCCTAGTAACTGCTGAACAAGAATTTGAATTTAAGTCTCTGTACTCAAGTTCATAGTCTTTGTTATGTGCTATTCTTTCAGTGATGGTACAGGGGTTGGAGTTAAAGCAGTTATCATCATATTTCATTTAACCTTTAAATTCCTGTTACCTCCTTGATCAAAAAGAAAGCCATTTTGTTCTCATTGAAATTCATTTACTTCTTTCATAGAATTTTGGAGATATATGTGGACATGATTCAGACCCCAGTAACTTCTTGCAGCCATGCTGTAAACACAAAGGAGAAGTCAGAACACTAACAGCTTCCCAGATTGTTCTGCCTGACCCACATATTACAGGCTTTACTGTCATTAGCTACCTAAATCAGCTTTTGCACACTTCTAATTTCAAGAAACATCATTGTGACTCTCAGGAGTATAGCAGCCACTCCCTCACTTTAGACCACTCAGACAGTGATCTTGGCAGCCTACATGACTCTGTGCAAATGTCCTGTTCTCTGGAGTCCTGCAGCAGAGATGATCTTCTCAGATTCTGGCAGCCATCACTTGAACTGACTTCGACTGATTCACAAGTAACAGCTAATGATGACTTCTCAGCTTCAGAACAAATCCCAGCCAGTGGTACTCCTGACCAAAACAAACAGGGCATCTCATTTTCCAAAGCCACTGGTTCTAAGAACTGTCATGATTCCCTTCAGAGTTCCCAGAGCCTTGTTTCCTGTATGGACAAGAATAATACAACAAGAAAGCAGGACAGAGAATTTGGTTTACAGGCTAATCATCTGAGTCCAATTTGTCCCAGTTTTCATGAAACTAGGCTGTCTGATTCTAATTTAGTCCCTTCACAAACAGAAGAACTTTTTCACGGAGATAATGCAGAATGCTACAGTGAATCAGAAATTAAAAATGAATATTCCCAATATGACATCCCATGTTACCAGCATCGTGACATAAATACTACCACAATCCTTCAAGAGAGACCAGCATTTTCTTTGTCATCACTCAAACCTGAAGAAACAAGTGCTTCTCAGAACTGTGACTCTTTGATTTGGGATGATCTACCATTCTCTGAAAGCCTGAGCAAGTTTCTGGCAGTTGTTGAAAGTGAGATTGCTGTAACTAAGACAGATACTAAAGACAGAAAACAGGTTACAGATAATGACATGGATAAATTCCATACAGACCACAGCAGGTTATCTGTGACTCCCAGGAGAAATACTGGAGCATTAAGTACATCTCCTTTACACTTAAGATCATCACAAGCAATGGTTAAAGAAAACTCCAGGAAAAAGACCTTTTCCAACTGTGAGTCTAATCTAAGCCCTCAAATTCAAAGAGAATCAAAACCTGACAAGACAGCAGAGGCTGTCTCCATAGGCAGTGATAGAAGTGGTATCTCAGAGTTTTTTCTACAAGATACTGGTCTTTCAGCTCTGTTTACATCTTCAAAAGACATGGAAGCATCTGTTCCCCAGAGGACTGCTGGGATCCTACAACAAAGGGATATGATTTCATTCAGGCCTTCAACAAGTAACTGTTCTTATCTTAGTAACAAATCTTTTAATGGATGTAGAGAAAAATCACATTCAGAAACAAAAGAAAAATTGACAAGCTTATGTTCTGAGAAATACAGTAATGTTTCTGATCTTCACAAATTAGAAAATAAGCAGTATTATAGATGGTCAAAGAACCAAGATGACAATCTTACAATATGCCGGAAACTTACGTATCCTTTAGAGAATCTTTGCAGTAGTCCAAAAAATACAAATACAGCAAAAGAGTTATCTCACAGGCCTATCAATAATAGCTTAACACAAAGTTATTCTGCTGATCATGATGGTACCTACAATGCTTCTACTGATCTTTTTGATGATATTGCTAAAAATAAGGACATTGAAACAGAAATTACCAAAATACCACAGGATATCTTGTTACCATGGGAAGCATTTTGCACAGAAAACTATCCTATAGACGAAAAAGGCAGCCAGCCTTCACAAAAACTACCCTTACAAGACATAGCAACGTCAGAGTATCTGAGAGCAAGTTCTCAGTCAGATTCAGAATGTGATTTTGAAGAAAGCCAAGACTTTGTTCCATGTTCACAGTCTACTCCAGTTGCAGGCTTCCACCAAAGAATTCGTAGCTTACATGGACCTTTCAAAATGTTTCCTTCCTTATATTCAAATCTTAATGCTAACTATACAAAAACAAAAATTTCTCCTGAAAATGGCAAACGTCAAGCTACCTCAACCTGCCCAAAGAATGTAAAAACACCTAGCCAGAAATCCAGAAGTCCTGATATATCTAGTTTGACAAAACCAGAGATTTCCAGCCCCTCCTCCACTGCTGAGTGCCTTGAAAGCGATGTGGATGAATGGGTACCCCCTACCACCCAAAAAGTATTTCTTTCAGATATCCTTGGATTCAGAGTCGCATGTTTAAGGAAATGTCTTGCTATCCATTCTTCCCCCGACCAAAAAGAGTTACCAAGAAAGAAACCAACAAAAGTCACACATAAAACCGACATGTTTAGTTAAAAGTTAAGAAATATATTTACAGCTACAGTTGCAAAATTGGAAGCATCCTAAGCATATCTATAAATGGTCAGATTGAAAATAAGAAAAAAACCATTTTAGGGTGTTTTTTCAGAAGTCAAAATTTGCCTTCCATTTTCAGAATACTGCCACTTTAGTGTCTGAAACAAAAAATACTTGGTCATCAAAATTATCATATCACATAAAGTCATATGAACCCAATTCACAGAAATTTTAAGTAAAGGCAAATCTGTTTGAAATTTTTGTTTTCACTGACATAGAATGCAATCCTTATATTTTAAACACTTAACCAAAAATCGGTCATGAAAAATGGACTGTACTGAGTTGAGTGCTGTTGGATCTTTCAAGGTTTCCTCAAGGTGTTTTTTTCCTCCAGAATACTATGATGTAGATAACTGAGCACTTTATCTTACATTGGCTGTACTAATCTGTTGATTGTGTATTTAAAAGTATTTGTTAAAATATAGACATCCAGAAATAAAGCCTTTACAAACCAGAATGTCATTAATAATTATTAGCTAAGATAAGAGCATAATTGCTGGGCTGAGATTGTAACACAAGGCTAGGCAAAAGGTCCCTAATCTCAATTGATTTTGGTCTATTGGATAAGACATTGTCAATACTGTACAGGAAATGCAGTGTTACAGATGTGTTTCTTTTACATGAAGGTTAAAGCCTGACTGAATTTTTGGTGCTACAATACAAAGAGCATCTTCAGTGTTTTTTACAATTGATTAATATTCTGACCTTGGAATTGTTAATGGTGAGAATACTGCTTTGCATAAATTGGTAGTACAAAATGACAAGTATTTTTAGGAGAATTTCAGAGATGGTTGGAAATTTTATACTTATTCAAGCTAAAATTTATTTAACTATCTTTAATGGAACTTAAGGCACTGAGAAATGTGACAGTGGTTAATATCACTTGCTGCACAATTATGAGAACCAGGTTGCAGATCTTATCACCCATATAACAAGCCAGGTTTCCTGCAACACCTATAACTACAGCCTTGTCTAGCCTTTGCACCCACCATAGGCCTACACCTATGTATACATCATAGAGATGCACAACAAACATCTTTTAGAAAAAATAGAAACTCAAGTCGTGGCAGTTTTTAAAATCAAACATTTTACCCTGGAATCCAAATATACATTAATTTATTATTTATATATTTTTAAATTATAGGAAAAAATATATCCTTGTTATGTGTAATAAAAACACTGCAGTTCATAACATATTGGCATTGCATGCCATAACAGGCCATCCCAAGGTATATATGTTCAAAACCAAAACTTCAGTGAAGTCACACAGCGAACCAGGCAAGTGCTGTCAGAAACACTTGGATTCCTTGTACAATGCTTTTTTTCTATTTCCAGAAACTTCTGCCAGCATGGTTTTTGTTTTCTTTTTTTGTTTGTTTGTTTGTTTGGTTGGTTGGTTGGTTTTTTTTTTTTAGCTCCCAACATTAAATTGTGTAACTCATTGTTTAAGAAGCTGGGCCTAGTATATATAGTCAAAAACTCCAAATCTGGTATGTGTTATGGCAGGAGATAATAGCCAAAAAGAAGAGCAATTTCCAGACTGTGGAGTCAGCACCTTGGCTGTACCTGTGAAATCTTGCAAACTCCTTGTTGCCTTCTTTTCCCATTCCATGCTGGAGCTATTCCACGTGTTTATTCTCCTTATGTCACCAACCAACTGCTTTTCTCTTTCCCTCGTTTCATGTGTAATATTCAGATCACCCGTGGTTGTTTCAATGGGATGTCTCCCATAGTCTTAGGCATTTAAACACGTGGTCTCCAGTTGGTGGTGCTGTTTGGGCAGGTATGGCCTTACTAGAGGAAATGCATCACTGGGGAGAAGCCTTCGAGATTAAAAAGCCTCTGCCGTTTCTACTTTACTGTCTAATTTGTGCTTGCACTTCACAATGTAAACTCACAGCTTGCTCCCATCACCATTCCTGTGTGCTGCCATGCCTCCCCACTGTGATGGGGATGGACTGTTAGCCCTCTGGAACCCTAAGCCCAAAATAAACCCTCTTGAAGTTGTTTTTTGTCATGATGACCTATCAGAGTAATAGGAAGGTAGTTGGTACAACCCTCAGCTTGCCACACCTCCATCTGTTCAGTTTTCTAGGTCTGTACCACTCCATGTCTTAGAAAATGATGCACATGAGTGTGGTAATAATCTTCTCTTTGGGGTTTTAATTCATTGTACCTGTCTTTTTTGAAGCCTCCTATAGTTTACTGTGTCTCTCTCCTTCCCAAACTCTTCATTTTGACAATATACAAATGATAGAGAATAGTACAGTCAAATAGCACCTAATTGTATTGCCTAGATCCGTTTTCTTTGTGTGTATTCCTCGTGGTAAGGCCATGACCAAAAGCAACTTGTAGAAGAAAGTGGTTATTTTGCTTACACATTCATATTACAGTGCATCAAAGGAAGTCAGGGCAGGAATGGAAACAGGAACCACAGAAGAATGCTGCTTACTGGCTAGCTCAGCCTGCTTTCTTATACAACTTAAGACAACCTACACAGGGTTGGCACATTACTACTCCCCATCTTACCCCCATAGGATAGGCCCACCTACATCAATCATTAATCAAGGAAGTACACTGTAGACTTGCCTGCAAGCAATATGAAAGAGGCATTTTCTCAATTAAGTTCCTCTTCCCAGCTTAACTTCAAGTTAACAAAAACCAATCAGGATGATGTGATTTGCTTTCTGTGTCCTATTTAGATAAATAAGTAGTTTTTCTTTTGCTGAACCATTGAAAGGTGTCACAGAGGACACTTCATCCCTAATATCTCTGCATAAATTTGTTAAAAGTTGATGAAAATACTTTTTGCATTCTAGATTTGTATGTTTGATTCTTTATACTCTCTTGTCCCTCTGGTCCCAGTATTTACTGTAAATCAGCTCTAAAGATTTGATTAGATTCATGGTTTATGTTGTGCATTTATCTCATCAGGAGATATATCAAGTTGCCCCACTATACAATGATAAGGTTCAGTTGTTTGGTTAGGAGAAATGGATCAACAGCTTAAGAGCAACTCCTCTTGCAGAGGACCTGAGTTTGGTTCTCAGCACCCATGTTGGGCAACTCATTGCCACCTGTAACACCAGCTCCAGGGAATCTGACGCTGTCGTCCAGCTTTGCAGTCACCTGCACTTAAGTGCACATACTCACACACAGACACATGCACACAAGCATAATTTTGAATAAATTTTAAAAAGAAATTTGGTTCATCGGGCTCTCTGAAACTGGTAGGGAGGTTCAGTGGTTTCACTGAGGTCCATGGTGGGACAGAATATTACTAGATGGAAGAGACTGGAGGACCTGAATGGTCTAGACTGGCATGCAAATTGAGCTTATCAAGGGCTAAGTCAATAAGAAGGGATTAGAGAAGAGCAAGAGCAACAAAGGGGTCTCTGAGTTACTCAAAAACAAGTTTGATTATTTCCCGATGGTGAACTACAGGGTGCTTTTCTGGGAGCTGCAGTATAATAATGATAATAGTCTCCCAAAGGGAGAAACAGTAAGAGATGCAAAAATGTATGGAGAAGAAAAGCATATTAGGTCAGCAGGCTAAATGCCGCTTCACCTGACCGGTTTCCTGGTTAGGGGGCAGGACCCAGAGACTGCTACCCAAAAGGTAAGCCATATGAAAGCTCAGCAGTCCTTTCTTCCTCACAAGCCCACAGCCCTCAATCTTCAGACCTAATTGTGCATGTGGGTGAAGCAGTGACCCTCCAGCAAATGGATGAGCAGAGGAGAGAGATCCTATTTGTCATACTGTGTTACTAGGACAGTGGCAAAGCACATCTTGAGACTTGGATACAATGACCTACCAGAGTTAGGAGCCTCCATTTGACGTATCATAGCTCCTAGATGTGGAAAGACCCAGATAGGCAGTTTTAGACTGCAGGAATCCAAAGGATGCCAGCAGACAGCAGAAAGCTGGGACAGGCTAAGAGCATAAGGCACTGTCTTGGTATCAGGGAACAGAGCTCTTCAACTGGAATTACTATGAAATATGATAATTCTGATCCTGAGGCAACAATTGGGTCAAACCCTGGAGCCATCTATTCTGTCATTTGCTGCTATAGAGCCCGAGAACTCTTGAAATTTTAGGGGGTATATGTAATTTTTTAACAACAGAATAAAATTGCATACTGTGTGCAATCAAAGTACACCTGCCTTGAGGGAATTGCACATTCTATACTTTGTGCCTACAACACATTCTTACCAAGAGTTATACACTGTCCTTTCCCTTCACTTCCCTCATGTCTGTTTTCAAGTAGCATGTTGTTGTTAAGACCTTCCTTTGACCATCCTACATAAAATAACATTGCACTGTCACTAACTTGCTTCCTTGCCTGCTTACTATGTCCATAAAAACTATCAACATATGGCATACTATGTATTTCCTTATTCTCTACCCTGTTCCATACTGTGCGGATCCTGAAAGTAACTGAATTTTCATTCCTGATATAGTCCCAGTGACTAAAATGTGATTTGGCATATGAATAGTGATAGGTAAATAAGGCAAGTATTAATTTTGTTGTTGTTAGTCTATACAAGAAAACCAAAATTTCATTGGATTTCTGTCTGCAACAACCCAGAATAGATTCAAGACATGAGTTGAGTAGTATCAAGATACTGTTTGTCCTTTTTTGCCATCTTGAGTCTGCATGTTTCCACAGAGCATGTGTTTCTAGCATTCCTGGGGAGTGCCCCCTGGGGTATAGATTCCCAACCCTGTATCCTCAGCTGAGACTTCCCTAGTGCCTAACCCTAACCCTGAAGGTCACCACAACTAGCCGTACTCTGACCTTCATAAATCAGCATTGTAAAAATAAATGCGTGAGAGAAAAGCTTCCAAGGGAAAGAAATCTGAGATTCAAAGAGGTTAATTTGTTCAAAGTATTGCTTTTACTGAAAATCTCTACCTAGAATTCTATCTTCATCCTGTCTTTGCTTAGAATGTGTATTTTTCCAAAGATTGCTTCAAAGTGTTGAAATGAAGCATGAATGAGCATCAAACTGTAGGTCTTAAACTCCAACAGTATAGATCAAAGTAAGAAAGACTAGTTTTCTTTGCTTATTTTTATATAGATATGAAAATTCAAGTATTCTCTGAAAACTTGAATGTACTTTAGGTGTGAAAACTGAGAATATCTTGTATTATTATCATGGTTTCTTGAGAGTAATAAAAACGGGATTTCAGTTCCTGAAATGGGCTACCGTTCTTGAAATATTCAGTTGTGAGCACCTGACCAAAAGCACAGCATGTGATTGTTACTGTAAATAGAGATTCACATTTCATCCCGAGACTGGATGTGTTTAGGAGTATGTAGACAGAAGTCAGGTATTGCCTGCCAGTTACAAGAAATAATTAATATAAAAATTATCCTCAAAGATTTTAATCATAGTTTTCCAATTTATGAGATACTTGTTTGGAACATTGCCCACATGAGATGCACAATTATTTTAACATGGATAGTTAGGGGATAAGCTATAATTATACCTTTCTTATGGTGACCAATATTGGTGTATTTGTGAATGAGCATTTTAGGATTTTGCTAATGGGGAAAACAATGTGTGAAGTATAGTAACTTTCTAAAGACCACTGATGGAAAAGTGTGATTAAGAGTGTCATAAGGCTTCTGTTACTGTGAAGAGATACTATGACCACAACAACTCTTATAAAAGAAAACATTTAATTGGGCTGGATCACTTATAGTTCAGAGGTTTAGTCCATTATTGTGGCAGGAAGGAAGGCAGCATGTAGGCAAACATACTGCTGGAAAAGGAACAGAGATTTCTACATCTTGCAGGCAACAAGAAGTGGTCTATCTCATTGGGCACAGCTTGAGCATATATGAAACCTCAAAACCTGCCTCCACAGTGACACACTTCCTCCGACAAGACCACACCTCCAAAAGTGCCATTCCCAAATAAATGTACATGGAGGCCTGTGCTTGACTTATTTCTAGCCAGCTTTCCTTAACTTAAATTATCCCATCTATCTTTCACCTTTGGGCTTTGCCTTTTCTTCTGTACTCTCACTTTCACTCTTTCTATGTGACTGGCTGTGTGGCTGGGTAGCTGACCCCTTCTTTTCTCACTCCTAGATCTTTTCTTGCTTCCCCATACTTCTTTTTATCCTTTTACGTAGTCTCTCCTGTCCTTTCTCCTGCCCTGCTACTGGTTGTTCAGCCCTTTATTAGACCAATCAGGTATTTTAGACAGGCAAAGTAACACAGCTTCACAGAGTTAAGCAAATGCAACATAAAAAAATTAAACACATCTTTACATCATTAAACAAATGTTCCACAGCATAAATAAATGTAACACATCTTAAAATAATATTCCACAACAGCCAACCAAAGAGCAAAGAGGGAAAAAAACAACTCTCTGTTTGTTTGTGTGTGTGTGTGTGTGTGTGTGTGTGTGTGTGTGTGTGTTTCCCTTCTGCGGGGGTTTTACTGGTGTGAGGTTATCTAATGCCTGTGTTTATATGGGTGTAGTTAACTTCCTGAGGTTGGAGGTTTTGTTCTAGTACCCTATGTGGGTCTGTATTTGTGGATAGATATTATTTAAATTCCACTTTGTCATAAAATATCTTGTTTTCTCCATCTATGGTGATTGACAGTTTTGCTGAGTATAGTAATAGTAGTCTGAGCTGGCATCCATGGTGTCTTAGAATCTGCCAGTTCAGGCCTTTGTGGACTTTAGGGTCTCCATAGAGAAGTTGGGTATGATTCTAATAGGTCTGCCTTTATATGTTACTTGGCCTTTTTCCTTGACTGGTTTTAATATTCTTTCTTTGTTCTCTATGTTTAGTGTTTTGATTATTATGTAGCAGGGGATTTTTTTTTGGTCTTTCAAGACAAGGTTTCTCTGTGTGGCTTTGGAGTCTGTCCTGGCACTCACTCTGTAGACCAGGCTGGCCTCAAACTCACATAGATCTGCCCGCCTCTGCCTCTCAAGTATTGGGATTAAAGGCATGCTCTACCACCACTCAGCAGGATTTTCTTTTCTGATCCAATCTATTTGGTGTTCTGTAAGTTTCTTGCAGCTTTATGGGCAGATACTTTAAGTTGGGAAAATTTTCTTCTATGATTTGGGTAAGCTTATTATCTGGGTTTTAAAGCTGGACTTCTTCTATTCCTTTTATTCTTGTTTGGTCGTTTTGTAATATCCCAGATTTCCTAGATGTTTTGTGTTAGAAATTTTTTGGGTTTAACATTTTCTTTGACTGATGAATGTCTTCAATGCCTGAGATTCTACCTCCCATCTCTTGTGTTCTGTTGGTGATGCTTGCATCTGTAGTTCCTGTTCACTTACTCTGGTTTTCCATTTCCAGGGTTTCCTCCATATTTATTTTCTTTATGCTTCTATTTCAGGTCTTGAACAGGTTCCTTCATCTGTTTGGTTTTTCTTGGCTTTCTTTTAGGGATTTATTGATTTGTTCCTCAAAATTTTAAAGAGATTTTTCATCCTCTTTAAGGATCTCTATCATCTTCATAAAGTCATTTTTAAAGTAATTTCCTAGTGTTTTGGCTGTGTTGGATTGTTCAGGTCTTGCTGTTGTAGGATAGCTGGGCTCTGGTGATGTCATATTGCCCCTTCTGTTATTTATTGTGTTGATCTATTCTATTCTTTTTTCTTTAAAAAGTAGAGGTGTATCTTTAGCTCACAGCACTTGAGGTTCTGGGATAGCACCAATACTGACTGGGGCTTTGCTAAGGGAGGTTATCATCATTTGGTAAGACAAAAAGCCAGAGAGGATCCTCTTTCTCTCCCCCCCCCCCCCCTGCTCTCTTTCCCCTGTCTCCTCTCCTTTCCCCCATCTCTCTCCTCTCACTCTCTCCTGTCTCTCCTCTCTCTCCCCTTTCTCACTCCTCCCTCCTCTCCATTTTCTATCTCTCACTCTTCTCTCTTCTCTGTCTCTCCTCTTTCCTCTCATTCCCGTTTCATCTCTCCTCTCTCCTCTGTCTCCACTTTCCTGTTCTCTCTCCTCTGCTCTCTCTCCTCTCTCCTGTTTCTCTTCTCTCTGTCCTCTCTCCCCCTCCTCTCTCTCCTATATCTCTTCTCTCTTCTACTCTGTCTCTCTTACCTCTGTCTCCTCCCTCTTCTCTCCTGCCCCCCCTCCCCCGTTATAATTTTAAAAGTAGCACAGGAGACAAAGACAGCACCGTGCAACAGAGCTTGGGTGGAGGTCATTTTTTGGTTTTGGATTTTGGTTTTTGGTTTTTGGTTTTTGGTTTTGGTTTTGGTTTGGTTTTGGTTTGAGACAGGGTTTCTCTGTATTGTTTTGGAGCCTGTCCTGGAACTCACTCGGTAGACCAGGCTTGGTCTCGAACTCACAGAGATCCACCTGCCTCTGCCTCCCGAGTGCTGGTTTTGTTTTTTTTAATTGAGGGAAAGTGAATGGGGAAAGGGGGAGGGAGGAGGGAGAACAGCTTCTGGGGACAAGAATGGCAGAATAGAAGAGAGAAGCAGGGAGAGAGAAGGAGAGACAGGCAGAAAAGCAAAAAGAGAGAAAAATGGGAGGTGGGCAGGGCCCTTTTAAAAGGGAATGTAGTGAATGTGCACAGGTGGTGCTCTTAGTGTCTGCAGCTGAGGACATATCCTGTCAGAACCCCAAGAGCAGGCAGAACAGATGCCCAAATACTAACACACACTCTCTCCCCTCTCCCTCCTCTCTCAATTGTCTTCTTTCTCTCCCCTTCTATCTCCCCTCTCTCTCCCTCACCGCCCCCCTCTCCTCTTCAGGGTTTCTCTGTGTAGTCCTGGATGTAGTCAAAGATCTGCCTGCTTTTGCCTCCCCAATGCTTGGATCAAAGGTATGGGCCACCACCTCCCAACAGGGTCTCTCTTTTGATCTTTCCCATCTCCTGCATTTTGCATCACCCATCCCTACAGTGTAGGGTGCTTAATGGATTTTCACCACAGTCATTTTGTTGAGCCTAGTTGGGTTCTCAAGAAGACTAAGCACTGAGCTAATGGCATAGACTATGTGTAACGTCCCAGAAATTGTATATGCAGGAGTCTCTGATATTCCTTTGCAAGATAGCTCCTCACTACAGCTCATGGTAGGTTTTCTGTGGAATGATATGAAATCCTTTTCCAAAGCAAAGCTACTAAGTGTATTTCAGGCTTTCCAGTTACACAAGCCTACAAGGGTTGCAAAACCTTGCAGGATCCAATATTGTAAGCAGCCTTGCTGGCAGGTTTTTGTTGTTGTTGTTGTTTTGTTTTTTGGGGTTTTTTTGTTTTTTGTTTTTTTGTTTTTTTGTTTTTTTTTTTTTTTTTGGTTTTACAAGACAGGGTTTCTCTGTATTGTTTTGGAGGCTGTTGGACCAGCCTGGCCTCGAACTCACAGAGATCCACCTGCCTCTGCCTCCTAAGTGCTGGGATTAAAGGCGTGCGCCACCACCGCCCGGCCTTGCTGGCAGTTTATTGAAACTATTTTTTTCCTCCCTTAACCCACCAGAGGGGCAGTAGATGGCCTGGATATTTTTCTTACTATACTGCTGTCTCAAGACCCTGAATCGAATAAGGTTCCAGCATCTATTCTGCTGATTACAGGGCTCCTTCATTGCCACTCTTCCCAAAATGCAGCTGTGTACCTGTTGCTTTTGTTTTTGTTGTTGTTGTTATTGTAAAGCAAGTGAGTGCTGAGTGCTTCTAATGAGCTGTTGTATTCAACAAAGTCATGTGTCTGTCACGCGAATGTTACAAGACAGAAGGTGAAAGCCAAGTATTGGAGATGGAATGAAGTTTGAGAAAAGGTACATATCTTTACCTCTTGCTGTAGTAGTGGTAAGGGACAGGGTGACTCCAAAAGGTAGATTCCTGTTTGCCTTATACCATATGCTCAATACATGGTAAATATACACATGAATGTATGAATGCCTCACTGGTGACTAATAAGTATTCCCATTTTTTATAATTTATTTATTTTTATTTTATGTGCATTGATGTTTTGCCTGCTTGTATGTATGCCTGTGTGAGGGTGCCAGATCTGCTGGAAGTGGAGTTACATACAGCTGTGAGCTGGGAATTGAATTCAGGACCTCTGGAAGAGCAGGCAGTGCTCCTAACCACTGAGCCATCTCTCCAGCCTCCAAGTCCTCCCATTTTTAATTGTATAGGAAACATCTTAAGTGATACCTTTTCAGAACTATGTAATGTATTTAGCTAGAAGGAAACTCAAAAGAAATACCCATACTTAGAAATGGAGAAATTAAAGGCTGAAAGACATAATTACCCTAATGTCACACTGAGACAGGAATACAGTTTATAATCCTGATTACCAGTGTATTACCCTATCTAATGCAACACAGGATAAAGTAACTGTCTCCTCATTATCAGTAACTAATATGCATAATTTTCATATCCTGACTATGACAGACTAGTCTCATTTAGTGTTATAACCTAAGGAAACTTTAAAGGTGATTTAATTTAGGCTTTATCATAGAGGAGAAAAAAATACACGAAGTGTTCAATGATTTGTCAAAGTTCTGCCAGCGAGAGAATCAACACTCAAGACTCAGACCATCTGGAGCCTCACATTCAGGGCACACTCCACATTATACTGAAGGACACCAGAGTACTTGAAGCTGATTTGGTTTTGACATATTGACATGGCATATAACCCTCCAATCGGGGGCAACAGGAAATGTTTATTTATGTACAAGTACATGGGAAATCAATTTCCATTCAGCTTTTTTTAAAAATCATTACAAATAAAAAGACTTTGTTAAATACATTCATTCTTTACACACAAAATACATTCTTTACACTTTTACTCTCATTATGAATTAGTTCTTAATAATGAAAACTTAAACTACAACACTCTGTAGATTTGGCAATTTGTTGATCGTTTTCCCAAGAAGGAAGATTCAAATGTTGAGACAGTTGATAAATAAGAAACCATACCTTTAAAATGATTCTTAATTGGTCCTACAAGGTTTAATGAATGCCCTCTTCAGTAATGATTGGTAGCTGTCTTTAAAGGAATGCTGAACACTGAAATTTTCAGTGATGACAATGGAATCTCTACAAAGACTGAAGGAGTCCTCAAGAAATTGATAACCATATCGAAATGACATCCTCACAGAAAGATTCTTACAAACATACCTGACAGCTAGGCATTATTCAGGGATCCAATTGACCAATTTAACCAAGATCTTAAGTTTCATTCTCCAAGCAGGACTTAAGAGATTCTATTTAAATAAATATAAATTGCTTGATTTGTTAGTCTACTAGTTTTTGAGATATGTAAGGAGCCATATGACCATGTACAAAAATTACACAAATGTTCTAGCAGCATTACTTATACTAACTAGAAAATAGAAACAATCTAAATGTCCAAAAGGTGATTAATTCAAATCACACACACACACACACACACACACACACACACACACACACACACACTGGAATATTACTTAGCCATACAAAGAACATACTGACTCATGCTACAACATAGATGAAAACTTTAACAGAAGCCAGGCACAAGAGGCTACACATTGTATGGTTATAGCATATGAGAGTTGAATCCATAAAGACAGAAAGCAGATGGATCATTGCCAAATGCTGGGAAAGGAGGATATTTGACTACTAATGGATACAGAACCTTTTGGGAATGACACTTTCTGAAGTTAGACAATAGTGACAATGTACAATATAGTGAGTATACTAAAAACATTGAATTTATATGTCAAAGGTGTGAGTTACAGTGTGTGAATTGTGTGAATCTTTAAAAGATATAATTTAACTTTGAAATGTTTGGGTTCCTGGTTCCTCTTTGTCCCCTTTTTTGAAGCTGGATTGAGTTTTTATAAATATTCTTTCTACACAATGTATTTAACTAATTGTACTTGAGTTACCAGTGGTTTAGATTTCTAATGGCCTTTTTGTTAAGTAAAAATAATACACGAACACAAAATATATATTATACTGTTAGCATCTGCATATTGACATTTAAGACCAAGAACTATACTTACATTAAAGTAGATTATTAGGATTTATATAGTGATTATATATATATGTGTTTACTGATAACCTATGCATAAAACCAGTAGCCATATATTAGGAATTGAGTTCATAAAATTCACTGGTCAACCTCTTTGCTGAAACTGTATATGTAAAATATCTGTGTTTTAATGGAGAGATAAGAAAATGAAGAAAATCAAGGATTTTCTAAGTCTTTACAAAGCAACTTCTGTAAATATTTTAACTATCTGCTGAGATCTCCAGAACTAAATATTTTGCATTTTATTTCATCCCTATGCTAAAAGTCATGCATTAAAATGTGTGCAATAATATATAGGGCATATGTTTGTTCAAATTCTTGTCTTAGTTCTTCAATGAAATTTTTAGCAGAATTTTTTTCTTTTCTGAAAATAGAGTTTTTAACTCATGCACTAGTTAAGACAGCTTTGTGTATCTTGTTTACACACCATCAAGAGAGCTCCAACCATCTGGTATGCCTAAACGGACATTCCAATGAGTAGAAGTTAGAAGCCAGCATCCCACTCATTTGAAATGTTTTATGTCAGGGACCTGAAAAATCTCAGCCAGTCCTTAAAGGATACAATTACTTTAAAAATTTCATTTAGTAACTCAACTGACATTCATTGTCAAATAGTCTACAAGAAAGTTCCACTAGCATTGTGTAATTGTATAGAGCATGAGAAGATTTATTCCTAATGATTACATTCCAGAAGCAGTATACTTAGTAGCTGTTTTTCAGAGGGCTTTATCAAGTTTATTATTATTATTTTATCCAGGAATAACTGTGTAATCTTAAACAAGAGCTATGTGCCATTCAACAACTAGTGAATTATTCTAACCAAACAGATTTCTTTTCTTACTCTGTATATGAATTTTTGCTCTGTTAGGAGTTAATACCCCAATTTTTATTTCAAAAGGTAGCACACACATAGAAAGGGGGATAAAAACATTTTGGAGTATTAGTTATACATTCATCAAGTAATGTCATATATGGAATTAATTCTAAAAGCAGATCACATAACTGGGATTTATGCTTCCATTTTTACCTACAGATGGAAAGAAGAGCCACACAACCAGAATGACTCTTCCTTGGTCATCCACTATGCATCATTAGTAAAGGGAGAAATGCATGGGTAATTGAAGAGCTAATCAACAACTACCCTGATGTTCACCAAGAGGGTAACAATAACCACCTCGCCGGGCGGTGGTGGCACACGCACACAAGCACTCGGGAGGCAGAGGCAGGCGGATCTCTGAGAGTTCGAGGCCGGGCTGGACCGACAGCTTCCAAAACAATACAGAGAAACCCTGTCTCGTAAAACCAAAAAATAAATAAATAAATAAAAATAACCACCTCAACATGCTTTTGTGACTTAGTTTTCAAACATAGACAAAGGGCAATAATAGACAGAATATGTGACCCCTTAAAGATAACAACCAAGATGTTTTCTTCCCATGGAGAATGAGATCAAGAAGAGGTTTACATTGCACTGTGAGGTATTTCAGTTCGAAGAGAGTTTCCTGATAATAAGGAATTTACAACCCTTGAATCGTCTATTGAGACAGAATGTCTCTCAAAATGTATGAAAGAAACATGGGTGACTGGCATCTAAAAGCAAAGTGAATCCAAGACTGCTTTGTAGAAATGGAATCCTTTGATTTGTAACAGACTGCCCCAAACCATTCCTTAAAATCTCCTATGTTGCCCTAGCTCCCACCTCACCTTCCCAAGTACCTGGGACAAAAGTCACATGTCTCTGTTCCTACTTCCAAAGTCTAAACAAGGAGAGGGGGGGGGGGACAGAGAGACCAACAGACAAAATCCCTAATATTTGAGTTCTTCCTGTTTGCTGATCAACATATTTTACATTTATCTCATCTAATCTTCAGCTTATTTCTAACAGGTCCATCTCATAGATGATAAAACTCCTGTTCAAACTTTTCCTAAAGCCTCCACCGATTCTTTATTTTTGTAGGGCTATACACAGCTAACCTAGTGCCCCACTTTTATACCTCTCCCTATATTACCCTCTAGAGTCACCACTGACCAAGAATTTCATCAAAATAAGTCTCAACCTCTGCCATTCTGCTTGAAACCAGTGGGAAAGTTAAAAAAAAATTAAAAGTTAACTCATATACCTGGTGAGGCCAAAAAAAAAAAAAAAAACTGGTAACCATCCTTGGTCTTCCAATTTTTTATCCAAGGAGTCAGAAAAAGTCCCATCCAAAATCAAGTATGTTTCTCCCCACACTGATTCAAGCACAAAAGTTTCCTTTTCTAAAGCCTAAGGAAGAGCCTCCTGTCAGATTGGAAAGGGTGCAAGCTATTTTACAATTGCAAGCTTATAAATTTTAATTAGCAAAAATTGCTTTTAGTTAGTTTATTTTCAAGTTAAAGCCCTGTTTTGTTACTTTGTACATGAAGCAAATTGGCCTTCACCCTTTCAAAGTTACTTTCCCCAGAATTGGGGAAACCTATCAAGTGTCATTTGTGATTTCCTCAGACCTTCAAGATGGATTTCTGCTGTGACCCTCCTTTCCTTCTCTCATGGAACACTGACTACTGGGGGACTCTGTAATGGAGGAGTCTCCTATGCTAAAACACTTCCAAAACCCTGAAGAGAATACATTGTTTATTAAGTCAAATGAGATGAATAACTTCCATGATTTCACATAACCTAGGCCTAAAAGATACCTCTTCCATTTTTAACAGGAAAACCAGTTCGATTTCAACAGGGACTGACAAGGCATTTCTAGTTTGGATCTAGGCGGATCAGTCTCTTGACCTAAGGACATTCGGCCAACTCCCTAGAGAGTAGTGCATTTGTGACAGAACAAAAGCCTTTTAGTTTTTAAATATCATTAGCTGTTGGTCAACATATATTTAATTGAGCATAAAGAAAGGTACTGCAGCTTAGAAATTTGAGCATCTGGTTCAATCCTACCAACAATGTAGGTCATCTTCATATTTTCTTTACACAGATTGCATTGACCCTTTGCTTGACAAAAAGGCAGCTGCTACCGGAGGGTTTTTTGTTTTTTTGTTTTGTTTTGTTTTGTTTGTTTTGAGAAATTCTCCCTGTGGCTCTGTGGCTTCAGTGTGGTGGGCTTCATTCTATTTCTCTCTCTGCCTCATCCCACAAAAATCCTTCAAATAATTTTCAGCTATCATAACTGTTAAATTCATTTACACAGCTATTTATCCCTCCATTTGCTTTTAATTTCAAAGATCACCAAGCAAGCCGTGGTAGCTCACATCAATACTCCCAGTAAGACTGAGGCATGAGAATGAATTCAAAGCCACCCTGAACTACATTGTGATTTCTATGCCAGCCTGATTTCTGGAGCTGTAGACTGAGATCTGGTCTCAAAAAAAAAAAAAAGAAAAGAAAAGAAAAGAAAAGAAAGGTAAAAAAAACAGTGCCTCTCAGGAGTAATGATAACATGAATATCCTGGGATTTAGGAAGGAGATGAAATGCCAGCTACATTATTCAACATTAATGACTTATCTGGAGGGATAATATCTTAAACTAATATTGCCTGTGTGTGCAGTGTAAGGGATGACAATGTTCCTTTCAAACACAGATAAACTCATGCCACAGGAACAGTAAACCCAGAGAAGAAAATACCTTCATTTAGTGTTTGACAATAGCTGCTTATGTGGAATACATTTTGTCAGAAGGATGAGACATGAAACATACTTGTCAAGACCATGGTTGAAGTAAGAAAGTAAGCCATTGCTTTAAAAAATGAAAACAAAAAACGTTCAATCCTACAACTTCTTCCAGAAGCTAATGAGAAAGTGACCCTTAAGTGTATGTGTCCATGAGATGCACAGCATTCTGTAGGATTACGACGTGGAAAATTCCCCTATCTTTAAGGCCACTAGTATGATACATGGTGGGGGGGTGCTGAACGAGTTCAAAATGATTTGCAACTGGTATTTTTTCAGAATTAGCCTAACTGAAAGTTGATGCTGTGAAATAGCTCAAAGAGAAGACTAGCAAATCCTTGATCTAACACTGGCAGGCACTCGGGTCCTTCCAAGGTATATGTTCATGAATAGAAGATAAAGAATCTGCTTCCTCCCTCCATCAAGCTATTGCTTTGGATCATACTAGTCCAAGCATCCGGTTTTGGTCAGTGGTTTCTTAATAATTTCACAATCAGAACTTGACGGTACTGGCATGCTAATACATTTATTTCATTTTTAGTTATTGTCTTGCCACTTAAAGATGTTGTCATCAAAAATGACTAAAATATGGGGCAGAAATTAAAGCCAGAAATAGCCAATGATGTAACTTAAGAAGTTTATATAAGAAAACTGACTCTATATAATTAAATATTAATGTAATCCAACAGATCTAATAAAAAGAATACAAATGAAGACAGCTTTGTGTAGGAAAAGGAGAAACCACTAAATTCTTTGAGGATGCCATCTATACAAAGCCATACCAGAAAATTATATGATTCCATCGATCATTTCCAAGCATGACTCTAGAACCTGAACATGTGTTTTAACTGGAAGCTAAAAAAGATTGCCATGTGTATAACAATTTTATTAAAAGAAGAAAAATATCACATCACAAATAGAAGAGATGGTCTTGTCAGGATAAGTCAAACTACATTACAATAAACCAAAACTTTTTTTCCACCAGTAAACAATTTTATGTAAAAGGGGTCTATCAGAGCAGACATTGCCCTGCCACTAAGAATTATTACTTATATCCTGCCCTAGATTAAGAGGATTCTTTCTCAATTACCACTTTACAGACTTTCATTTAAAAAACAAAACAAAACAAAAAGCAACAACAAAAATGTTCTGGCAATGAAACACTTAATCAACTGGTATTTATTGCACCTATAATATTGTCAAGGATTGTTCTCTAATTTGAGATACATCACTGGAAAAATATTCAAAAGGCCTAATCAGAAATTCACAGAACTATGGAATGTAAAGGCCCAGCTTCTCAAGTGTCCACACTAGTGGGCCAAGGAGTGATGCCTATGGTCTACTGCATGTCTCAAGACCCAAGAGAAGAGGGACCTTAGAGCTCCTAAGCTGCTTCTTAACCTTGAGGGACAGGTGGAGTGCTGTAAACCTAAGTAATAAGAATAACATAACATAAATGTGACCCCAGAAGCTGTTATTCTGGAACTAAATTAGTCCGTTCTCACAAAGCCCTTAAAGTTCACAAAGCAAGTTATTTTTAATACTGCTATGAGACAAGGCTGAGTCATCATATGCTGAGGAGATCAGAACTTTGCTGTAAAGAAAAGTAATAAATTCAAATTTAGGGACATTCAGTAGAAAGATAAATTCTTTTGTAACCTTGATTAGTTTATCTTTTGATGCCTTTGGTTGCTGGCTTAATAGGGAAGTCAAGGTAATTATAAACTTTTAATTTTCAATTAAAGTGATTTTTCTCCTCTTCCTATATAACAAAACAAAAGACAGTTCAAACTTTTAGAAAGCCTGTCGCTTTCTTATAGAATCAAGAAAAACATAGTGAGCCAATTACAATACCAATGTTGGGTAATAATACACACAGTTCCATGTGAAGGAGATGGGACCTTTATAGAATCTGTTAGAGAAATGTTAGAAATGTATTATCAATATCCTGCTGTGTTGACACATTGCTTTATAATTCAGTAGCTTCCAAGAGTGTTGTGTCAGGTCCAAGACTGTTACCATCAATACCAACAGTGGAATTACACGTCATATCCTCATTCAATGATTCATCACTCAGTTATTTATGCTATGCAGCAAGTCACAGAAACACCTGACAGCACCCACGGCATACAGATTTAATTACTGCCACAATTTGCATTCATGAGAGTGTATCAAATCATGGCACTGAAGAAACAGGAACTCACTCAGCAGCACGTCTTCCAATTTGAGACCTGTTTTTAAATTGGCTAAGTAAAGGCATATATACCTCCATTGGAATTGGAGATTTGCAGTAATACATACATACCAGGATGGGGAAAAAGGCAAAGAAGAGGGAGTGGGAAAAGAGGAGATAAAGGGAAAAGGAAATATGGTCATGAATCTGAGATCGACATTAATATAAGATGGTTAAGGACAACTCGCAGGCCTTTCCTAAGTTTATTGAAGATACAAAAATGATGTGAAACTTTTCATCTGTTGCTATTCTCACTTATCATACTAAAAATGTCTACAAAATCCTAAGCCTTGGTCTATCCAAGGATAGTTCCAGAAAGGAAAAGGTGTGACTTGTTATCAAGGACTGTGCTCTGTCTGGAACCCTGCTCTGCAGTCAGTCCATATTCCACAGTATTTTGGTCATATCTGCTCTGTTTTCTCATGCTACTCAAAATGTCTTACAAGGAATCTATTTTATTATGATACCATCATCCATTATATTTTCCCCATTTTTTTCCAACTTTGATTTTACCTAATGGCAGAAAAGGTGCGAAACAATAGAAGAAAGTTAAGAAATTTGAAGGAGAATATGAAAAAAAAAGGGAATTCTCATGTACAAACCCATGCTAGAAAAGGTGGTAATGACGCTTTGAACAAGACTGCTGATTCATGGATGTCCCCCATTTTCTTTTTATTTCTAGGTAATACATCTAAGGGTATCAGTGTAGTAAAATGTTTGGTCTGTGAAATATCATAATCATTAGCACCAAAAGGAGTCATGGAGCTTGTATATGTTATTAAACAATATTTTTTACTGTTGGTCATGAGAAGAGTTTTAGTTTTTACATCCCAAAGGTTTTGAAAGTGCTTGAGGACAAAAGAAATAACACTTTTCAAAATCTCCATGGGGTTATCAATAAGTATCACAGAGACAGTATTGGCCTTTCCAGTTTTGGTTTACCTGGTAGACAAGAAAACCATGGGCACCAGATTACCACTGAAGCCTAAAGATCAGCCCCACATGCACCCGCTGACACACAGGAGGGATTCCTACAGTACATGATCCCCTGCACTGTGTTCAGGAATGCACTTTTACTTGCTTTTTTAAAAACAAAAGCAACATGCTCTGCAGATCATGGAGCACTTAGTGCAATTTTCTCCTTGCTCCAATGCCAGACTGCAAAAGACTGAAACCATTATGTGTTCTGCTAATGCTGGCCTGCAGTCGAGGCCCTTGGCCTGCATGCTTTGTAAGCTCTGGAGCCTACAGGAGTCAGAAGGTCCAAGAGCAGGAGCCATAGTCATTGCCAGATTCCCTAGCAACATACGGCCCACCAAGGCAACTACTGATTCCCTTTGATTCTCTTTGCCTCAGCCTTTAGTTGAAATTACAACAAGTCAAATAGCTGATGCTTTTCCCCTCTCCGGGTAAGGGTGAAGATACATTGTTCACCAGTGTGTTCTGTCTTGCTTCACTGATGAGTCGGCATGCTAAGTCAAGGAAGAGTTTCTCCACATTATCAGATTCCTTGGCTGATGTTTCCAGGTAATACATGTCCTGAGCCTCTGAGAATTCCTCAGCCCTCTGCTGAGAGACCTCTCTCCTTTCAGCTAGGTCAATCTTGTTACCTGTAACAATGGTAAATTAGAGAAAGAATCGTCACTTGATTTTGTTTATGCAGAGAAGCATCGAGATTCAATTCCAGACCTGAAATCAATGGGCAGATTAGATGGATGGACAAGTAAAGCCAAGTAAATGTGACCATGTTCACAGGAATGTTTATTCTAAAATATTAGTGTCATTTATAATGACAAAGACTGGAAACAATGCAAATCGTTTGCAGACAAGTATTCAGCCCAGTAAAGAAAAAAAGCCAGCGAGGAATAATCTAGACAATGCCATGAATCAAGAATACACGCAATGAAAGCAAAGCAGAAAAAAAGAATTCTCAGCAATGGAAAACTTGAAAATTTTCACTCTTTGATTATTTTTTAAGAAAATAAACCAAGATTGTAATTTAAAAGACAATGCTTGCAGCCCCAAGTAGTAGTGGCACACATCTTTAACTCCAGCACTTGGGAGATACAGAAGCAGGAGGAGCTCTGGGAGTTCCAGGCCAGTCTGGTCTACAAAACAAGATCCAAGACAGCCAAAGCTGCTGCACAGAGAAACTCTGTCTTGAAAATCAAAACAAAACAAAAAAGACAATAGTTGCCCAGAAAGACAATGTAAAGAGCATAGGGGCAGAAATAGATTTGATTTTAGAAGCTTACATTTTACATAAGCTAATACAATTCTGTAATTAGTACAAAATTAAAATTTAAAAGCAATCTGTAAAAATTAAACATGTTTGTCATGTAGTGGCATAGGTACAGACAATTATTTCAAGTAAATTTAAAACATGATTTCACCCTGCATCCTTAGGTGTGTACACTAAGGAAAAAAATGGGAGTTTAAGGACCAAGTCTTGAGCTCATTCAGTGATCATCTTGTAATAGCAGCGCTGGTATTAGGATTAGGAGACTGTTATATGTGTATTAAGGGATAAAACAAATCAATTATGCTGATGTCACATAGAACTGGTATTTTTGACATGAGAAAGATGAAATACAGCTATGAGATTAATGATACTAAGCAAAAATTTTGCTGTTTTAAATTATAGAGCTAAATATCTGTATGAATAATTCATGATATATTTTATCTTTTAAACATTTTCTACTCCTTTTTCGAGGTAGGCTGACAAAAGTCAAGTATTCTACCAGGTAACACAGCTTAAATGATCCAATTGGTAATTACTCCATATATGAATGATAAATACCTAGTAGAATGCCATAACACGGGAAATTCCTGACTGCTGATTCTCCATTGAAAAAAAACTCCCATAAGTTTTGCTCATGGAGCTGCGCCTATGGGACACAGAGGCTTCTCAGCCAGCGCATCTCTTGTACTTGGGGCAAGTGAACTTTGTCTCCTGATTCCTGAGTTTCCCAGGCCTGACAAGAAGACTATGATAGCCAATGCCAACCAGCCATAGAGTCAGGTGAATTGACCTATATCTTTCTTTCTAAGTGAACACGATTTCATGTGTGGCTTAAGATTCGCCTGTGAATCAGACACAACTTGTTGAACCTATTAAGACAACACAATTACAATATGTGTGCATACATGTCAGTTTCCAATACCAAAAAAATTAGAAATAGTGACCTACAAGTAAGGAAAACCCAACACTGAGGCTGGGGTTTCTGATTATAAACTTCCCATTAGACATAAATACCACTTCTGAAAGACATGATCACTTCTAGGTCTGCAGCATGAAATGACATGCCTAAGAATTTGTCATATCAGAGATCAGGGAAATTGTCTCAAACACTCCTGGAGTTACGTGAAAAGGATTTAGAGACTCATTTGAAGAAGCTTCCCATGTCAATGATGGAACAATGGAGACACGGGTGGTAATAATTGCACAGGATATGCTGACTGTACACTTAAGTTCTGAAGTCCACAGCATATTAAAAATACAAGTGAATATCAATAGTTGTATTTGGAAGATCCTAAGAAACCAACTCATTATATTGGAAACCACTGAGCAAAGGGAATAAAAGGCCAGTCATGGTGATACACATCTTTAATCCTGGCACTTGTGAGGCAGAGGCAGGCAGATCTCTGTGAGCTTGAGGCCAGTCTGTTCTACATAATGAGTTCCAGGATAGCCAGAGCACATTGGGGGCAAGGCAGGTGGGGGGGAGGTGCTGATCCTTCCTATCTCCCTTCAAGTCTTCCTTTATCTTCCTTATTTAAAATGCCCAACAGTAAAGTTTTGACAGACTCAAGTTCTCAAGGGTTTCCTGTGGAATACAAGGACAGTTCAGAGCTATAGACTTTCACATGCTTCATGGTCAAGGTTCTCCTTAGGTATGGGGGTTTTCAGGACCAGGAGCCAAGAGGAAAAGTGGGGAGTTAGTTGACTTTAAATTTTGTTTGATGTCAGAAAGAATTTCTCAGCATCAGTTTCCTCATCTAAAAATTAGGGCCCTATGATTCCTGGTATTTATACACCAGTCATAATGCTTATTATAAAATGTTTGTTCCAGCAAAGCACACTGTCATTCAGGCAACATGGCAGCCTACAGAACGGGAAAAGATTTTTATGAACTACACATCTGATTGAGGGCTAACATCCAAAATATATAAAGAATTCAAGAAACTAGATATCGAGAAAACAAATAACCCAATTAAAAATGGGATACAGATCTAAACAAAAAAATCTTAATAGAGGAAACTCAAATGACTGAGGAGGATCAAGTCGGGGAAACGGGATTGTGGGAGGGAATACAGGAAGAGACAGCTTAAATTAAGGGCTAGTTGAGAGATAGTATGGAAAGCTTAATAAAGTAGTAACTTACTAAAATACATACATATATAAAGGCAATCTAAAGGAATCACCAAATAATGGGGGAGACAGTCCCAACTGGCCATCTCTTGTCATAAATAAAGCTTCCAGAAGTGGAGCTGAGATCTAGTTACATCTTTGAGTTGTTGGCCAAAGGGATCCCATAGGAATCCCCAAACAACCTAGGCTTTTGCCAAGACTATAGGTTGCTTTCCACAAACAGCGTCCCATTGCAGAAGACAACACCTACACAATCACTGAACATAGAGAAGTCGAGCTGGTGCCTATACAGAGCCTTTCACGCTACATTCTAGCATCTTTGGCACAGAAAGTGCTCTGCACAGTACCAAAAGAGAAATGTAAACACCAAGTCAGCCACAAACCCTTGATCTAAAATGCTGTCTGCCTACAAGATATGCTAGGGCAATGGTGGCACAGCTTGTGGAAGCAACCAACCAATATCTGACTTGACTTAAGGCCCATTCCACAAGATGGAACCCATACCCAACATTGCATGGGTGACCAATAACCAGAGACTAGACAGCGCAGGGAGAGACCGAGGGTAAAACAAAATACTACTATTCTCTGAAAAAAGACAATAAAACAACTCCTAATGATATTCTGCTATACTTGTAGATCAGTACCTTGCTCTGCTAGCATTAGAGAAGCTCCCTCCTATAGCAAATGGGAACAAATACAGAAGACCACAACCAGACATTATGCAGGGAGTGAGAGACCTTGGAACCCTCAATCCCAAACAGTATGTCTCCATCAAATCCCTCCCTTCAAGGCTCAGGGAACCCTGTGAAAAAGAAATGGAAAGAATATAAAATCCAGAGGACACCAAAAAAAAGCAGTGCCCTCAAAATCAACATGGTCAAAGCACATATGAACTCACAGAGACTGAGGCAGCATGCACAGGGCCTGAGGAGGTCTGCACCAGGTCTTCTGCGTATACATTATGACTTCTAATTCAGTGGGTTTTTATGGGATTTCTGAGGATACAAACGAATGGGTCTCTGATTCTTGTGCCTCCTCTTGAGTTCTTTTCCTTGTCTTGTCCAACACCAATATGTTAGTTTTTGGTTTATCTCATTTTATTTTATTATTATCCCTTAGAAGCCTGTTTGTTTTCTAATAAAAACAGAAAGGGTGTGTACCCAGGTGGAAGAGGAGGTAGGGAGGAACTGGGAGAAGAAGAGGGAGGGGAAACTGTAATGAAGGTAAGTGAAAAAAATCAATTTCCAATAAAAGAAAAAATGTTTGCCCAGCTTACTGTTAGCCATAATTTGTAATTTAATGATGCTTTCTGTAGTTTTCTCTCTTTCTAAAATTCAAATCATGAAAATATACAGCAAAATTCCTTTCCAAGAAGAAAATATTTTAACAAGCAGGTAGTTGATGCCACTTTTCATTCTCAACCAGAAGAGTTTATAATGAAATGATCCATTTTTTTTCAGACAAGGTTTCTCTGTATTGTTTTGGAGGCTGTCCTGGAACTCACTCTGTAGACCAGGCTGGTCTCGAACTCACAAAGATCCGCCTGCCTCTGCCTCCCGAGTGACATCCGGCCGAAATGGTCCATTTTATGGCTCTGTGTGTGTGTGTGTGTGTGTGTGTGTGTGTGTGTGTGTGTGTGTGTGTGTGTGTGTGCAAACATGCATTTGAAGACCAAAGGTCTAATTTGTTCCTCACCTTGATTTGGTTTTGTTTTCCATGAATGATACAGTCAGTGAGACCTGGGACTCCACAATTAGGCTAGGCTGACTGGTCACCAATGCCCAGGGGTCCTCCTCTCTCTGCCTTCTCTGGGATTACAAGCAAGGGCCACCACGCCCAGGTCTTTACATGGATACTAAGGATCTAACTCCAGTACTCATGCTTGTGCAGCAAGGACTTTCCCAACTCAGTTATCTCCCAGGGCCCAGTAATTCCATTTTTAATGAGTGCATTTATCATCATAGAAAACCAAGTGTTATTTTCTGGTTTCTCTACATTAAACAGGCCCCCTCCTCCTACAAGATGAAACAAACTGCAGCATTTCCCTTAGTGGATTCTGAAACACAGGAGGGATATCTTAAGTCAGCATAAAGAAAGAAGAGAAAAATTCACCAAAGTATATGTTTTAAAAGACTAGCTGCTTCAGTATGAATTCCTCATCAACTTGATTTATTTTACTTTTACATCAGCATTATCCACCATCTTCTCTTTCACCTACACTGATAGGAAAATCAGCAATATTTTTGTTTATTTTTCTAAATTATCACCATGGGCTAGAACTTACTTCATGTCCTCCTCAGTTGTGCAACTGAATGTTGATTATATACTCAGGTAACTATTCAGTATGTTCTTGGAAGGTACCAGCACACAAGCATTACATGATCATAAATTTTCTGATGATCTCACATCATGCTCTTCTTCATAAGCTCTTACTTACCCACTAACACAGTGATGACTTTATTGCTAGCATACTGTTCTATCTCTCGCAACCACTCAGGAAGGCAACGGAAGGATTCCTCACAGGTGATGTCATAGGTAAGGATCAAGGCATTGGCGCTGCGGTAATAACTTTGGGTGATTGAACGAAATCTCTCTTGACCTGCAGTGTCCCAGATCTGTAACTGTAGAGGGAGAAGACTGGGATCAGCTTGGAAGAGTAGGAAACAAAAGAGCATCCCTTTGCTATAGCTCAGAAATGGGAACATCACCCAAACAATTTCATGGTTGTTGTCTGCCCTGAGGTGTTTCTGGTTTGGGTAAAGGGCTTATTCTCTTTCCTGGTTTTGTTTGTTTAAAACTTCTCTTTTATCTAAAAAAAAAACCTATTATGCATTTATAACATTGCAAGCTCTATTCTATTCATTTTATATGCAATAATAATTTTCACAATGAATCCTATAAGATAGGTACTATTATAATGCAACACTTCCTTCTTCAGGAAACTAAAGCACAGAGAGATCCGTAACTGGTTCGGGTCTCACAGACAATTCAACACTCACTATGAACACTGTGTTCTTGTCCTTAGGCTGGATACACACACATGCACTGCAACAGAGAGCAAGCTATTGCTCTGTGGTCATTGGCATTTCGGTCAACAACCGAAAGAAAGAAAGTACAACAGTTTAAAATTCTAACGTACATATCAAGACATGATCATTTTTAATGAAAATAGGAATGATGCTATTACAGTCATACCCTGCCACCATCACATTAAGCTCTATGACTTTAAGTCACCTTTGGACTCCACTTCTGTTAAAAAAGGTTTTCATAAGTCATCTAATCTACTATTTCTAAACATAGCAAACTATGGTTTAATAAGAAAGAAGGAAAAATACTTCCCAAATCTCTTCCCCTCAACCTTTCAGCAGACACAACTCTTTATATAGAGCAGAGTATTTGGGGAGATGAGAACATCACCATCAGCATCACTATAAATCCCTAGGTCACAGGTAAATTAACCTCTTTACTGCTTCCTCTGGTAAGGCCTTCCAGAACCTTCTGCCACCACAGTTTCCCTTACAATACTTTATATCATCTCCCCCAAGAGCAACTGACATATCTTAATCATGTACTAGAAATAGTTTGTTTAATATTTGTCTGGCCTACTTGATTTAAAAGTTCATACAGGAGGAAGCAGGACCTAGTTTTAATCACCAAATACAGTACACCTGGGACAAAGAGCAGATGCTTATGTTTTTAACTGATGATCTCAACTCTTCCTTATCCCTTCTCCTAATGCAGTAGGCAAGCTGAATAAAAATGCTTTCTTCCACCCAGGTACCCACAAAGCTGGGAGTCAAACTCCAGGTCTTCTATCCCCAGTTCAGAACTGAGTTGAGCACAGCCTGTTGCTTTTGCCATTGCAAGCTCATTTAAATGTACATCTACATCCAACAGTCACTTGGTGTCACCCTGGCCCCATAGCAATTTTGCTGAAGACACTGAGCAGTGACCAGTAGCTCCTGCCACGAGCCAGTGCACACATTCTCCTTTGATTTGAAGTTGCAGCAGCTCTTTGATGATATAAACTAAAGTCTCTGTGTGCTAAATGCAAACATACACATGCCAGTTTGTGCTGGAACAAAAGCTATTTCTCCTCTCTGCCTCAAAGTAGGGCCATGGTCCCCTTCTGCCAAGATGTGCCTTCAAATAGCTGACTATTGTTTTAAAGCCTCATTCAGCCTCTCAAACACTGTTGACTGGGATTTGGATACTATCAGTCATTAGAAAATGCTGCGTTCATGACTGGATATCTTGGGAACTACTTTAAGCATCAAAATATTTTCTTAAATAGTGATTGTATGGCCTTGATGAGATATATGCCTCCTTCTCATAGAGGACTGCCTGTGTCTAGCCTGACAGTTGATTGTTAAAGATGCTTATATTCCATTGTCTATAACTCAAATTAGTTTCATCACCTTTCTCTATGATCCCTTGTCTCTTTTCATCCTTTGCAGAGCCCTAAATGACTATAACACAATCCCTGACCTAAGAGAACATGGTCTACAAGGAACCCAAATCCACAATTGATTAGCAATGGCCTCTCAAAGAGGAACCAAAGACAGAGTGTCTCCCAATATTAGTCTATCGTCTGTCAATGTGTCATGAACACTGAAGTCATGGATTTCCTTGCCACTCTCACATAGAGCACAGGGCTACTACACTGCTCGCCTGTTCTCTTACTGCATGCACCGCTATTGCCTGCCCTTCACAGCAACGTCTTGTTCAGTTTGCTAGGCTGTCCTCGTTAAGTGGATTAAGTTCTTTGAGGACCAAGGTTATCTCTCTGACTTCATGCCTTTGTTTCCTTCCTAACACTGTGTGTGTGTGTGTGTGTGTGTGTATTTATTTATTAGTGGGCACAGTTGAATAGTTAATGAGATGAACATATGATTGTGGAATCACAAAGGAGGAATTGATTAGATATTCTTAGAAGATTAGTGGGGTTTGAAAGATCTGAGACAAAGTGTTTTCAGAGCTAGATATCAGTAAGTTCTAAAAGTCATTGACGCTTCACCTACCTTGGTGTTATACACAATGCATCCTACTACAACACAAGATGGACAGACAGATGGATCATCAAAAGAAAGAATATTCATACCTAGGTGGGAGAGGGAGCTGGGATTGACATGTGAAGCATTCATGTTTCTAATTTAAATAAAAATATATATTGAGGAAAAAATATTCATACCTATGTTCATGAATCTCCTATCTGTGTAACCCAGATGATTAACGATAAAACAACCTCTTGTGTCCGGTGGTGGTGCAAGTCTTTAGTACAAGCACTCAGGAAGCAGAAACAAGTGAATCTCTGCATGTGTGTGTGTGTGTGTGTGTGTGTGTGTGTGTGTGTGTGTGTGTGTGTAGGCACATGTGCAGGTGAGTATAGGTGCCTGTAAGCACAGGCCAGAAGAAAGTATTGGACAGTCGGGAATAACATGGGTGCTGGAAACCAAACTCAGGTCATACACAAGAGAGTATGCACTCAACCTCTAAGCCTTCTCTCAGCCCTTCACCTCATACTTGTTTCCATCACTTCCTTCTCTTTCTGCAAGGTGATGAGCCTATTGTGTCTTCACTCCACTCTTATCCCACAGGAGACCCCATGGGGTTAGAAGAATTCAGTTTAGCAAGTGAGTTTTAGATCCTGTTTGTCTCCCTTCCAGGGTACAGACATGATTAAGTAAATTAAGTAAGTAAGTAACTTCTAAAGCTTGTATGGTAAGGACAATACCATCTCCTTCCCAGAGATCATACTAAGAATTAAAATAACAACGGTAACATGCATAAAAGCATCAATCAGAGACACTAACTTGTAATACATACTCAGTAAACATACTGCCTCCTGTTTCTGGACATACTCTACTCCCACTTCTAAGTACCAAGCCATCTAGAAAGCACCAAGTGAAAGACAGAGTAAAGGTCAAAGGTCCTTTCTTGGACACAGTGGGAGAAAGAATAATTTTAATAAGCAACTCGTGTGACTGAATTACCTACCCTTCCTACAATGAAATGTGGAATCAGGAGGCATTGCCAAATAGAGCTTTTATTTAGAAGAGAAACATTATTGGTCCAACTTTAAAATAAAAAAACAATACCTATTTTGTTTTCACATCAGTTCGGATACACCAGGGAAATGTTATTTGCCCCACTGTCTTCATACCAATAAATATCATCCCTAAATTGCTTCTGTGTTTTTTTTTCTTTAGGGACAGGTTCCCGTGTAACATATGCTGGTCTCCAATTTGCTAGGTTAGGGATGACCTTGATTTTGCAATCATTCTTCTACCTGACTCCTAGGTGAGATTACAGGTATGCACTCCTATACCTAGCTTAATCCAGAGTTTCCTACATGCTAGACAGACACAGAGACAGAGCTCCACCCCAGTGTATCATTTTCAATGTAGGTTTGAATGAAGCGGTTTAATAAATGTCATGAAAAAAATGACTGTACTTACTCCCCTAAACACTTAGAGAACACATCAAAGGTTTACTATAAATTTAGCTTCTTACCTTTACCTTTTCACCATTAATCTCCACTGTCTTAATCATAAAATCAACTCCAATTGTGGCTCCTTGACCTGGGGGGAAAAGACCCTAAGGAAGAAATAATGGCAAGTAACATTTGAGCATATCTTCCAAATAAGTGGATTTTCCTCCCCAACCCATCCTTTGAGGGACCTGGTAGAAGAGAGTACTCTGCTTAGCATCATGTTTGGAAGGGAAGAAAGGAGGGGAGAGGAAAATGGAGAGAGAAATGGTGACAGAAGCAAACACAGAAAAGAAGGACAAAGCAAGAGTCTGTAAAGGAGAGAATCTTGAAGGGGCAGTGAGAGGTGCTGGTTCTAAAACTCAGACAGGAGGATGAGAGTGGGGAGGAATGAGTCACCAGAATGACATCAGGACTGTTCAGATGGGGAAAGAAAAGGTGGTTAAAACAAAGAGGGAGTGAAACGTGGAGAGTTCTGAGAGTGAGAGAAAGACATGGAGCTTCTGAGTTTTCCTGGGCCTCAGGACGGTTGCCAGCCTGAGGTACACTGTACCACACACACAAGTACACACAGTTCAGGCATACACACACAATTATACCTGGATGGACACACATAATTATACACAGCCCAGATGGGCACATACACAATTACATAATCCTGACAGAAAGACACACAATTACACAGTCCAGATGGACACACATACAATTATACATAGTCCAAATAGACAGACACACACACACACACACAAATACAATTACATATAGTCCAGATGGATACCTACACAATTACACAGTCCAGATAGACACCCACACAATTACATACAGTCCATATGGACACACACACAATTAAACACAGTCCAGATGAATGACTCTGGGAAATGAAGTCCTTAGAAAGACAGCAGAGTAGAGGCAGCATCAGAAAAGAAGGCGGCAGGTGACCCCAGACAAACCACTCCCCCTCTCTAGACCTCAAAATCACTGAGTTTGAAGTTACTGAAAGCAAGAAACAGGAGAAAAGTGTATTACCTTAAACTGGAAACACAAGTTTCAAGACAATCGGGACATTAGCAAAACTGCACGTATAATGTAATTAACTTTTTCATATTTCCTGTAAGCTTAGGAGAGGGTTGAGGTAGCAAGGACTTCCACGAAGAAAAAGTCTTTACTTAGTCTCTTCCCTCTTCAGATTGCAGAATTCCAGGAATAAAGCAAAATGGACTTTATTAGCTCTTGCAGCTAAGACTGGGACATCTTTAATTAAATCCATCCCCTAACAAGAGAGTTCCTTAATTAAAGTTTGAACTCAAAACACGGAGCTTCAAGCCAAAAGCAAAAGCTTCATTGTATATCTGCAAACGATGTAGATATAAACTTTCATAACTTTATTTACAAATATTTAACCAATTTTCCTGTTTGGCTTGGCTCAGACAGAAGGCTGCCAAGCTTCAGGTTTCTAGCTCCAGCTGTGTGCAGACTAACAAATACCAAAAAAAAAAATCTTTCCCAAGCACCCCCCACTTTGTTCCCCAAACCTTCCTATCTCAAAACCAGCTGAATCCAATTCATTGTAACTGCTTACTAAATAATAAAAACATACATAAGCCTGTCTATGAAATATGAACTTTAGGGCAAGTTGAAGGGATAGAGATAAAAGTAGATGGAAAAGAAAAATAAGAAAAACATGTTTGTTGGTAGAGTTACTGATCAAAAACAAAACACTTCCCTTTTAAACGGCAGGGTTTATCTTATGATTTTTGAGGAGAGTGGTCCCAGGGGTTAGAGAACTATGGAAAGATCACTGGGCCAAAAAGCAGGACCCTAGGGTCCCAGCTTTGCCAGCTATATGCCTCAAGATCACAAGCATGTCACTGGGACCCTCTGGGCCTGTATAGGGAACTGGACTGAAGAATCACTAAGTGCCCTTCAGGAAAAAGATACCATTAAGCAAACTCTAAAAAAAAGCCCTAAGAAACAAACCTTTCTCTATGGAAAATATGTGGGCGTGTCCTCCTTACAGAAGCAAGAAAGACTGCTAAGGTTCGGTGGGTGTGAAACCAGCTGGAGTTTCCAGTATCTCTCTGTGACAGGTGACTGAACTCCAGATGTTGGTTGGCTTTTTTACTTTTGATTTCATCAGACCAAGACTGGGTGAGCACATGAGCCCCTGTCTGTGGTCACTCAACACAGGAAAAACCTTGACATTTCCAGCAACCAATAGCCCTAAAGCTGGCTGGGCTTCCCAATCTGCCACTCCAGTTTTCCAGACTCACCGGCTGCAGTGAAAGGGGGCTTGGAGCTCGCCAGCCTGTCACATGCAGTGGAGAGGCTTGGGGAGGGAAGGTGGGCACCGGGATCAAGACTAGCATCTGGTAGCAAACCTTGAGTCAGGGCTCTTTCCCTGACACCAGGGCACCTTAAGCCTTAGAAGAACTGTCTCAATGTTCCCAAAGTACCTGTCACAAAAGCATGCTATATGCATGATGATCCAGAAAAAGGGCATCATTTGGGCTTTTCAACTTGAGAATGGTTTTTCACTAATTTCTGTACAAAAACAAATACATAACCTTAGCCAGTGATAGAGGGGACTTGCACTCAGGTCCTATGAGAAAGAACCAAATCAGAAAGCATATTCAGCTCCGTTCAGGTGTGCCACTGTCCTCAGCTTGTTCCTCCTTAAGAGACTTGGACAAGCAGACCAGTTTGGTTATAAACCAAGCCAACTCACTGTGGGTTTTGGATGAGAATGGCCACAGGCAGGAAAGAGCAGGTTTAACCTGTGCTGGGGCTTTTCAAAAATGAAAATTTGGACTCGGTTTAATGCCCATATTAATTGGTTTCCACCTTGAGATGATTATGAGCTAATCTATTTTGTAAACCAACTCTATTTTTGATACTACACACTGAAAACAAAACCACCTGCCCCTTTTCGTATGAGGAAGCAAGATGATGTGTGGGAGAAGCCCTCGGCACCAGCTCCTCTGGCAATTTAGAAAACCTTTGACTATAAACTTGATGGAGCTTTCAAAGGGTGGCTAAAGAACCTGCAGTCCAGGAGTCAGCACTGGACCCCATCCCCCCACCCAGCAGATCGTCACTGTGAGACAGGTGAGACAGACAGACCCAAGCCTGGATCCCAGATTTCCCTTACCTGAGTGAATCGTCGGACTAGGCACGTCTTCCCCACTCCAGCGTTGCCAATTAAAACAATTTTGAACAGGAAATCATAATCTTCCATACTCATTTACACGGCTGCAAGCAAACACAGGAAACAGTGAGAAAGGCCCCGCAGACGTCCCCAAGAGCTTAGGCTGCACCTACTCCACAGAAACAAGAGCTCTGACTCATTTAAGAGCAGCTGAGAGCTCCTCTCTGATGATGCTGCCAGCGAAAGAGGAACATAGGTGTCTGGTCACAGATGAACTTCACTCTCCCCTAGCTACCTCGGGCTGCAGAGAGTAAATGACACACGTCCTTTCACCTGGTAACCTTTAATCCTCCAAGCTGTCAGGTCATAGGCCTTGAAGGGATAAACTGTGTTTTCTTTTTGTGTGGAAAGCCAGGAGTGCAGACAAGTAGGGAGAGAGGAGAGCCATCCAGAGGTTAAGGCAGTTAGTAGGCTGTGTGAAGAGAATGATAGCTGCCAGGAGACCACATGAAAGGGAGGAAATGATAAATGGCCCTTCACTCTCATACAAGTCCTAGGTTCTTGGGGAATCATCCATTGGGAGATCATCTTGCCCTTCCATTTCTACCTACCTCCACTTTCTACCTACTATCCCATGTCTCTCAACCTCCTACCAACCACAATATTGCTATATGGCCTCCTGTGACTACTGTCTTCTAACTGCAAGGAGCTGTGCTAAATCCTCTCCTCTACTGGGGATGTCCCCCTTCCGAATTTTTCTTCAAGATCAGAGCCCAGTGCAAGCCTCTCCTTTTCTCTGAATCTTTCACTGGTATTCCCCAAATGGGTGATAAAAATAAAGTGGTGACTTTTTCCCATTCCTCCACGGCAGAACTTTACTTGCTATACATATTCTTTTGCTCACGTCTGCCTTACCCTTGAGGGAAGGGACAATGTCTTCCAGCTCTTTTTCCTAACCCTAGAGCAGAGTCACACTTAGTAAATGTCTACTCTCTAGACAGAATGGCTTAATTAATAGGCATATTGCTTAGATGTGGACATTTGCTTCTCTAATTATACTAAGAAGACTATTACCATTGAGTAATTTAGAGAGTCATTAAGATTAAAAACGAACAAACCAAACTAAAGCCTCTCATAGACCTTGCTACCCACCAACCCCTGTTCTTATGAAACGAATCATAATCTGGGTGCCTCCTGTGTTATTCCTCTACCACCTGGAGACATCTGCTCCAAAACCAACATGAGAAAGCTTAAATATCAACTAGAAAGTAGAGCAACAATCTAACACCCAGGAGGCCAAGACTAAAAGAATTTTGGGTTTGAAGCCAAACTAGGCAACATAGGGAGACTATCTCAAACAACAAACAAACAAACAAAGTTAAGGAATGATTCTAGCTAACTGCTGAAGAGCACTGTGCCTTAGGCTGAACAGGAACAGTCTCTGGAGGGAGAAGAAAAAGCCAGTGAATCCTAGAGACAAGGTTTTTCGGAGGTTGAGGGAAGCATCAGGCTTACTCCTACCAGGAGACCTAAATCTCATTGACAACGGATTGCAGGTGGAGAACCCAATGTGCTGAGCCTGTCAAGTAATGTGATTTGTATGTGGATTTCAACAGCCCTTGAAAGATGACAAACAAATATGCAGGCAGATGCTCATGGGGTTCTGTGTCATGTCACTGGAACTGTGAAGGAAGAGCACTTCTCTCTGTGCGAGAATCTCAGCCCATATATGGTGGCTCCACTGCCTATATGTCTTGCGCTATACTTGACCCTTTATGTGTATTTCTTCATTTTCAATAGTTGGTGAGCATAATATTGATTAATATTGTATGTGATTTGAGCAAACTGAGGTTGAGAGAAACCACGGTTAGCACCAAATCCTAACAGCCAGGCTTCCATGCATCAGTGATCAAAGAAATTCTAACTGTAAAAACCAAAAAGAACAGGATTCAGATCCTAGCTGTTGTATTTTCTCAGTTTGTACCTTTGGGACATTAACAAAATGGAGCTCACAGCACCTGTATCATTGAATTGTGATGGCTGACAGAATCAGAAGACTTAAGGACAGTACTTGGTCTTGGTAAAGCAAACTCCTTAAGCTCATTCACAAGTTTCCCATCATCTACTTTCCGTCTCTATGACTAGAGTCACATTTCATTACCTCCTCGCAACCCTCACAAGGTGCACTATTTTTTCCCCAGCTTCTGAAATGCCACAGCTCTGCTTTTCTCCTCAAACCTTTCTGCCTAGAACAAGAGTCCATGACTTCCTGTCTCCTCCCCCAACAGGTGGCTTTCACTTCTGCTCTAGATCTCAGCTGAAGCATAACATCCTTTAGTATGTTTCCCTGACCAGAGAGGAGGCCTGGGCCCCTCTGATTTCTACTTCCTACTGCCTTCTTCCTCTTAGACAGTACTAGGCACCATAATCTACTTAACTGTATCTGCCTTCACTCCTCCACCACCCCTCAGCATCTCCGTGCTGTTTAAACACAAGAACTCACACTGTGTCTGGCTAAACCATGGTCCCATAATCAGCACCATCATCACCATCGCCTCCATCATTTCCATCATCTCACAGTATTAACTACTTAACCTCACAACAGTCCTACGAGGCACTTCTGAATTTTTAATGTGGAAAATAAAGATATGGTGGCAGAAGAAAAGTTAAGGAAGAAAAATAACGTGATTTGTTCCTAGATATTGTTTTATATTCAATGGAAACTTGATACGAAAACTCCTTTATGGGAGAAAAGAATGGGAGTAGAGGAGAGAGGGGAAACTGCAGTCGAGATGTAAAATAAGTAAATAAACTAAAAAAATATATCCTTTATCTCCTTCATCTACTGTTCCTAGGGAGACAGGTACTTATATGAATTTTTTTCTCTAAAAACATTTCAGAATGTCATTTTTCTTTGGTGGTCCATAATACAGCAGATTTAATGTATGCTTAGTTTTAAATTTTTTAAATAAATTTCCAAATCATAAAAAAGAAAACACTGAGTTCCTACAGTTAATAATTAGAAGGGTTGAGAGTCTAATTCAACCTTGACTCAGTTGTCCAATAGTGTCTTTCACCAGGCCTGGTGCATAGGAAGAGCTCAAGAAAGACATGATAAACTGATGTGATGGCTGGGCACTCTCTACATGGGCCTTCCCTTTTCCATTGCCCCCCTAGTTTCAAAGGCAAAACCCTTTCTTATTGTACCATGCTCCCTAAAGCAGAATCAATGTTAGGCTCTTGATCAACTTTAATGAGATGGCATGCCAGTTAACAACCTGCTGTTAAAACTGAAAAGAAGGCACCACACTGGTAATCCCAGAACCTGGGAGACGAAGGCCCAAAAATTAGCAAATTCAAGGCCAACCTGGTCTACACTGGGAATTCCAGGCTAGCTAGCCAGGACTACATACAGAGACTGTCTCAAAAATAAAAGTAAAAAGTAAAAAGAAAGTCAGTACTGGGCACAAGATGGCAGGGAGACCTGAAGCTGTGTGAACCAGGACACGTAGCCCCTTTTGTAAGTCAGAATCGGGAATTGTGGGACTGGGCTGCATCTTTTTCCTGGGCATAGATGGTTTGACACACTTTTATTCCTAATTTTTGCCATATGCCAAAGAAACAGCAAGAAATCTAGAAAAAAAGTCCAGATACAGAGATCTAAGAAATCAGGCTCTTAAAGAAGAGTTATCAATGCCAGAATCATACCTTTTATATGAAGGAAAGATGGAAGCCCAATCACAAACAGCCTGGGCCTGCATGACTACCACCTGGACCAAACTACAAAACAAAAGATACTCTTTCTATAAGAAATTAGTTTTAATGCTTTGTTCAATGTTTCCGTGTAACTATATTTGAATCCAGAGTCTCACACATGCTGATTATGTATTCTACCACCATGCTACTCAAGAACCTTGAACATTTTGTTAAATGAACCTCAGGGGCAAACAAGTTTGGTCTCTGTATGATTGCAGTCTTTGTGTCGTTAAGATAGGACTGTGTACTCCAGGTTCCATGAAAAGGTGACTGTTCACTTTTAAGATAAAAACACATCTCTGGGGAAGTACTTCTGTTTGGGCCATGATGTAAACAGCCCAGATATTGTCAATCACTGTGATGAGACAGTATCCCAGGAGGGGAAGCCTCAGAAACAGATTAAACCAGCTCTATAGTGACAGTGACAATAACACTCATACCTTGTTGATTGTTGCAAGCTGTGCTACTGACTAAGCATATTATAGGAATTTTCCATTCTGGTAACAACAGTAATAATCACAGGGTCCTCACAACAACGCTATGATGTAGACACTCTTATCACCTATGAGCCATTGTGACTTAAAACAGAATACTGCCACCTCCAGCCTTGTGAGTGACAATGTCACTGTCTGAAGTTCAGGTGAATGGCCGCTATGCCCTTTTAACACAGTGGTTTGGAAAGCCCTTGCTGTGAAAGCATCAAACCCATACTGATGGGTCTGCACACTGGTTGCAGGCCATCTGAGGCTGCTCACTGTGGCCCCTCCCCCAGTACACTCTCTCTGGGAGCCAGACTTGGATCCCCTCAAATACCACTCCCATAACTCACTGTCAGTCACCCATATAACTAAGTATCAGGCACAGGGGGATAGGGAATAAACAGAAATGTGAGGTGAACAAGTGAAATCCCAAATACTATAATTGTTATAGCAGTTCTAATGTATATGGGTATGAGATTCAAAACGGAAAAGGAAATAGATGAGGAAAAACGAGGAAGGAACTGTTTAAAGATACAGGAAATGAAGTTGAGTATGTTTTTAAAAGCTTAAAAAAAGAAAACCATCAATAAAGGAAGGAAGGAAGGAAGGAAGGAAGGAAGGAAGGAAGGAAGGAAGGAAAAAAGGAAGGAAGCCATCCAGAGTAACAGACTTTGCAGCACATATCTTTTTAAAAAGTATCCTTTAAAACCCTATGCTCCCTGTTAGATCCATATACTTTCCCTTTGTCCTTTGGGGTTCAGTAAAACTGGTAAGTTCAGAAGCCATGTCCCCTCCTCCAAGTTCTGAACCACGGTTGTCCCCAGAAATATTGAGAGGACTTGTCTTTGCTCAAAAACTGTGTTCTTAAG